CGAGGAGACGAGTTTCAAATTTGAGGTAGAGCTTACTCCAAAGCTCGAATATCTTGTGTACGAGTTTGAGAGATCGGTAGGCAAGCAACCCATCCTAGTCTCCTACCGACTGATTTCCAAAGCAAACGAAAAGTACCATGGGTTGGGATGGTCATTACAAGATTGCAATCTAGTCCACGATATGATTACAAAGTATGTATCAAGACTGACGGATGGATGCGCAATCTACAAGGCTTTGGATTGGACATAATCCGTCCAAATTGTGTCGAGCCGTCGACTGTAAAACAGGCGCTGAATGGGAGGCAACCCATTATTTATTTTTCGTCATTTATTTTGTTAGTTTTCTTTTATTTTGCATTTTTTTTTATTTAAAGCTAGATTTCACCCATTTTTCTTGATTTTTGCCGGTATCTCGTTCCCAAGAAAAGAAGAGTTAGAAGTCGGGAAGTCTAGGCAATTCTGGCAATTCGCCCTCGGTGCCAAAATTCATGGCACCCCGTGCAACCAAAGAACACTTTCGCAACCGTAGAACACTGATCAATCTGCGGCACGACTGTTCAGGGCATATTTCTTTCTCCTTTCTTTTATTTTCGCATTGAGGGCAATGCATGATTTAAGTTTGGGGGGAGTTTAGCTAATTTTGATTTGGTCTTTTGCATGCATATCATATAACTTAGTTTTATTTATGTATTTCGATTTCCGTAATTGTGTTATGTTTGTCACATGCATTTCATTTAGGATCGAGTGTAAGTTGCATTTCCGGATTCTATTGAAGCAAAGCAATTAATGAATTAGTAGATGGGCTAGTTGATTTTAAAATTGAAATTATGGATAACCGGCTAATTATAGATGTACCTTCCGACTGCGTTTTTGCAACTTGTGTGGATAGCCTTTCGAATCCTTTCCGATTAAGCTTGAGCGCACTTTTCTGAGGGGTATAATAGTCTGACGTTTGGGGGGCGAGTTAGAATTGAATTATGTGTTCACGATTTCCAGGTGTTGGCTAAAAGTTCTATCAATGGTCTTTACGTTTTTATTTTATGTTCGATGTTAAAAAAAAAAAAAAAAAAAAAAAAAAAAAAAGAGAAAAATAATAATTTGTGGTATTGTTGTGATTCACGCTCTGATTTCCCCGCCTTTCTGACTCGAGCTTAACCCGTTGGGTGCACCTCGTCGCCTAAGTCTCTCGAGTTGTCAAGCTTGGGGGTTTCTTGGACTAAAGTTCGATACATGGGTCAGGGAGATAACACAGTGGTGTCGAGCCTTGCACGAGTCACGATTATTCCCGTTTCAAAAAAAAAAAAAAAAAAGAAAATAGTTGTGATGAAAATCACAATATATCGTTGTTGTCATTTCTTATTGAATAAAAAGACCTACTTATGCCCAGCTCGAGTTTTTGAATTTCAGAATCAAAACTTACTTTTCACCCACATTTCTACTCAAAACCCTCGATAATTGTGTTTATTGTTTAAATTACGGATTCTTGAGTCTATCTTTCATTTTGGTGTAGAAACAACTAATTGCGTCGGTAAGAAAGTCGAATACCTTAAGCCGTATGCCATTCTAAGATTTTAGGTTATCTAGCTCGTTTCATCTTTGGAATTAATTGCAATGCTTTGACCAATCCGGCAACTTTGTGGGTGTGTTGTCTGAAAACCCTCACGAGACACAACTCGTCCTTTGGGGGTACCCAGGGGTTCAACGGCTTGTTGCATACGCTAAATGCAATCGTGATTCCCTACGTTAGTGGCCTAGGTTTAGTTTTTCTTTCGTTTGTCGTTTTTGTTTTTGTGTCGTAGTTTTGTTTTGATTTACTCGGGACGAGTAAAGATCTAAGTTTGAGGGTGTGATAAGTGTTCGTTTTGTGCAACTTTTACTTATCTAATCTTCGTGTTTTGGTCTTCATTCGTCCGAGTTTTCGGCTTTATTTGTATATATTATGTTGTTTTTGTTTTATTTATATTTTAGGTAAAGAGAAGCTATTTTTGCCGATTCGAAACGATTTTGGAAGCGAAGCCGAAAATCAAACCAAACACGTGCAAAAGTGCATTCTCGCGGATTGTGGCAGTGTTTGGTATTTCAAGCATAACTTTTGCATACGACCTCCGATTGAGCTGATTCAAGTGTCCTTAGAAAGCTAACTTCAATATCTACAACTTTTGTGAAATGCACAATTGTCGAATTCGGACTGAAAAAGGGTAAAAAAGGTGTTTGAAGTTGATGCAGAGGCCAGATCGCGATCCAGAATCACCGGATCGCGATCTGGTGGCAAATTCCAGTAGCAGCGAAAAGTTGGGGCAGATCGCGATCCGCACTTCCTGGATCGCGATCTGGAAGGCGGTGCGCAGTTTTCGAGGTTGCCAGATCGCGATCCAAGAAGCCCAGATCGCGATTTGGGCACAGAAATCGAGACTAGTGTTTTTCTTTGATATCTAACTATAAATAGAAGGTCTCCTTTTCATTTTTCGACCTCTCGATAATATCTCAATTATCTCTCGACTTTTCTTCGGTTTTCTCTTCGGTTCTCGCCAGTTCTTCGCGGGAAGCTTCGACGAGGGTTTCGACTCGGGTTTTTCATAAGCTTTTCTTTACGTTTAGTTTATGATTTCTCGTGTTCTTCATTTGAAGGCTATGTTTGTAATGAACTGAGCATTTTCTTTTAGGGGAAATGAAACCTTGTATATATTGATTTTGATTTCCAGATCTGTGATCTATTTGTCGTTCTTTGATTCTGTTTATGTTTTCCTGTATTAAATGCTTTCGATTGTTTGGCCAACAGTTGAATTGATTCTAAATGGGAATGAACTCGAGAGAGGATTTCTCGTTTGATTTTAGGAAAGCATAGCTCGGGTTGTGGAAACGGAGACGTGATGCACCTCGGGTAGCCCTTAAGGACTTGACCTAAATGCTCTCTTAATATCAGGTTCTGAACGGAGACGTCGGACCTGTGGGTAGACTCTAACTACACTGGAGACGGGGGTTAGGGTACTTTAGTGTCTGGGTTAGCGAACATAGAATTGACAATAGATTTCGATTTGTAGATCTTTATCGATAGTACACTGGTGGATTTTACCCTAGAAGCCATCACACGTTGGAATTCCTCGCGTATACTGGCGGACCGTTGTTTTCATTATTTTTGTTTCCTTTTGGCTTCATGTCATCTCCCATCTTTTTCTCCCGTCTAGATAAAGTTTAGGATAGTATAATTACGGTACATGGTAGATTTAGGAACTTAATTCCCTCTGGATCGATATCTGGAATTCACTATTCTACAAAACGCGATACTGTACACTTGCGGTTATTTATACGTAGGTTTTACGCGTATCAACGTGAGGAATCCAACGGGGTAGCCTGTCAAATCCGACTGCCGGAACACAAATTAAACCTCCGGCAAGACCCACGATTGTCGAAATACGCCATGACTGTAAAAAGATTTCATAAATAGATCGAGTGCTCCAAATTGAATGAACTCACCACCAAAAGAAAGAGCTCGACGAGAGCAATCCAACGGTAGTTAAACCATCGAATTCCGACATCGGAAATAAAATTATGACTCCGGGAACCAACTTCGCCGGTTGAATATCAATGGAGGCGGGATTTAGATCTGAGAGTTGAGAAAGGAAAATAGAGACCGAAATGAGTTGGTTAGGGTTAAAAACTGATTTAAAAGAATATTCTGAGTATTTCAAATCTACCAAGAGGTATGTCAAATTATTATCCAAATAGAAGGGATTTGCACTATGGTATAAACATCATGGTGGTTAGTTATATATAATATCAATATGAGAGATGTGTCCAAAATAATCCCTTATTAAATATTTATTTATAATATAGTTTAATTTTAATAAAGTAAATTATTAATAAATATATAAATAATTAACAAATCATAAACCACGTGCAATCGAACGTGTCACTTACTAGTAAGATTAAAGGGAAAATTTGACAAAACTCCCTCACCACACAATTATCATTACAATAAGTCCAATTTTGTTTTACATTTTTAAGATAAATCCAAAATAATTTTTATTAATTAAAAACACTTAATTATCACTATTATACCCCTACTTAAAAGATAATGTATATTTAATTTTAGTATTAAAGATATATAATATATTTTCCATTAAAGAATCCTAATAAATAAGAAGTTAGTTACTTGAATTAATGACCGTATTATCTCTTTCCTATCCAATAACCCCCCGTCTCTCTCCTCTCTCTCTCTCTGTCTCTGCGTGTTGAGTTTTGTGTTGTCATTGGGTCTTATCATTCTAACAAGGCAAGCAAGAAACCCTATTGGTTATGAGTACACCTTTTATTTATATATTTATATATATATATATATATATATATATATATATATATATATATATATATATATATATAAAGTAGTTTTCATGTTTATATAGAATGATTTTTATTTAAAAAAAACTGGAAAGAAAAAAAAAACCATTTTTTAAAAAATATTGAAATTAAGAAAAAAGAAAAACCATGAAAAAACGAAAATAAAAATAAAACCATTTTTTTAAATTAAAATAAAAAACATTAAAAATATAAATAAGAAAAAAAATAATTTAAAATAAAAAAAAACGAAAATAAAAAAGTAAATTAATTACAATTTATTTTTGAAATCGAAATAAAGAAAACAATTAAACAAAATAAAAAAGAAAAGGAAAAAAAACTGAATTGGCGTAATTAGGGGAATAATTTTTGGAGAAGATTTGGGTGTAGATTATGGGTATAATTTTTTTTAAAATTAAATAATTATACTAATTAATACTTAGTGGGGGCATACATGGTTTTTCAGACTCATTGGATTTATCTCAAATATCATTTATAAATAAAGATTTATCAAGAATTAAAATCCCAATAAAGGGTGTTTGCCATATAACCCCAAGATTAAAAGCTGAATGGAACAAAAGTTTTTGGAATTAAAGAAACACACAAAGTAATACATGGAAAAACGATGACACTTATTTCAACGTTCCTCATTCGGAACAAGATGACAAAGACCAGCAGTTATTGAAAGGGATTGTGCAAAAAGCCACAAGAATCTGGCGCCACACACATAATGCACGTCCACTTTTATTCACCTGCATAAACGAATCAACAGTTTTATAGATACACCAAAGAACAAATGTTATTACGAACACTGTGTGAACCAAAATGTACGGTATGTACGTACGTACCTGGTGATCATACGGTAATTTATCAATAGTTTAAGACAGATCCAACGGAGAGCTTGAATTGGACCCCCCATCTCGTTTTCTGTTCTCCTTGATGGTTCTTTTTTTCTTTCTCAATTTCCTTTGCCGAATCGGTAGCCGATTTTTGAAGGGAGTCTATCTCCAATCTCTGGAGTTTCTTCGCCAGCTCAAGTGGAATCTTTTGCAGCTTTCCACATTTCTTGATCGAGAGACACGTCAGACTAGGAAAATGATCGACGGTCGTCTCCCAATTAACGAGATCAGCTTCTGAAACGAGCAAGAATTGGAGACTACAAAATGTACGACTAACTACCCATGTTATTCCGGTGAATGCATTTTGTTTCAACTTGAGGACCTGCAGCTTTTCGATTTGTGCTAGTATAGACATATCACTCCAATCGAGGCATGTTTTCCTTAGACTCAGCCTCTTTAGATTTTTCGGGAAACAGTTGGTTTTCGGAAGGCGAATCATCGATTTTTCGTGCACCAGCTTCAACTTTTCAAGGGAACGCAGTTTCTCCAAGAAATTGTTGTTGCCATCGAAAAGAGTTGATAAATTCCCACGAACCCGCAGTTCCTTCATGTTGCGCGCCTTTTTGGCTACAGTTTCCGTGCAGGACTCGGGCGATAATGTGCTCAGTGTTTGAATGTTTTGACCGCCCTTACCTTCCTTTTCTTGGTCCAGAACAACGGCCGCTTTTGTCTTGAAATGCCTCAGACAAAGCATTGCCCATAAATTTGCACTCATTGTAAACGTAGGAGAATCCGTGTCGACTAGAAGAGTTTGTAGGTTCCATAGCTTGGAGATGGACTCGGGAATGACTTTGAGATTATCAACGTATAGCGTGACGTACCTCAAATGACTTAGTTTGCTTATCGTTTGAGGGAATTGATGGAATTTGATGGAGTAGGAATTCAATACCCGGAGCAACTGGAAGGTATCGGGGATAGCATTGATGTGATCTTTGTCCAATTTCACGGGATCTTTGTAGAAACAAAGAAAGGAACGAACGCTCGGGTACTCTGTTTCTCTAGAGAGGAATTCGGATAGATCGGAGTTGAAGCAAAAACGATGGTACTTTTCCGTAGCGGGAATTTGCGGCGGAACAAGTCCTCTCTCCGATGGTTTGATCTCTTGGAAAAAATTCATCTCTTTGGCTTTGGAAGTGCAGAATGCATGTATGACATCATGAACACCACATATTTTGTTTTCGCCCATTTGATTTGCTCTACCGACCATCACTAACTTCCGGTTGACAAGATCATTCAAATACTCCTCCGCAGTTTTCTCCAAAGTCTGGCCTTCCTTTTGCAGTATAAATCCTTCAGCAATCCACAAGCGAATCAATATCCAAGCGGGGATGTCGTAATCTTCAGGAAACACCCCCATGTAGACAAGACACTCTTTCAACTCGTCGGGCAATATATCGTAACTCAACGCCACAACTTCCACTATGCGCTTATCCTTGTCTGTTGCCAAGAAACGAATCACGTCTTCAGACACCTCGGTCCATTCATCTTTCCTCACGCCCATCGGCCGCTTTCTTGCGTCTTTGGCCAGAAGAATTCCTCCTATCACCACTATTGTCAGAGGCAGTCCATCACAATTTTTGGCTATTTCTTTACCAACGTCTTCCAACTCTTCCGGACATTCACCGACATCCTCAAATACCTCCAATTGAAGTAGTTCCCAACTTTCTTTTGGTTTTAGGAATCGTAAATTATACGGTTCTCTTCTACCAACACCTGTACCAACGTCCTCAAAGCGGCTGGTTATTATGACTTTACCCTCCCCATTGTTCGTCGGCAAGAAACTCCTGATAGTTAGCAAGTCCTTGACCTTCCATACATCATCCAAAACAATCAAGAACTTTATGTCCTTAAGACACCTCCGAACGTCCTGCTCCAAATCGAAATTCTCCTTTCCGGACATGTTCTGGTCCGTGAACTCCTTTAGAATGCTGAGAAGCACGTCCCTCTTGTTGAACTTTTGCGAAACATTAACCCATATACGAATGCGGTAAGAACCTTTGAGTGTATCGCTATCGAAAATCTTCCAAGTCAATGTTGTCTTGCCTAGGCCAGGCATACCGATGATGGAGATAAAGTCAAGTGCCTTCGTTTCTTCGGCGATGTAGCCAAATATGGTCTTCTCCACATCTTCCAGAGCTACAACTTTGTCTCGCCTGATCGACTCATCCTGTTGAATGTACAGCAGTAGTTAAAACAATTATGGATTATACAGAAGCAATTGCTCTTACAACTAATTTTCTTTTTCATAATGTACATTAATCATGTGTAAAAAAGTTAATAAGTGAAACAGTTACATTATACAGCTAATTTCTATCATCTCGAATGAACACCTCAATCAAAAGTGTAAGTTATTAGTGAAATGTATCACTTAAATATTAATACTTTGTTATCTATATTTATGTTTCTATTTTTGTTTAGAAGCATGTATAAGAAGTTTTGATTTCTTTTTTTGTTTTTTGTTTTTTGTGTTTTAATTATCCATGTATTATAAGTAATATTATAAAATGGATGGTTATAAATTAGGGAAAATTGCACGCCACCCCTATAAATTTTTAAGTTTCGCACTTACCTCATAAACAATTAAAAAAGTTAATGTCACCTTCAAAATGTTATACTTGTTGCACATTGCCCCAATAGCAAATTCTGATGATTATTATCCGGAATTGAGTGTTTTTCTTGCACGTTGCCCTTTAAATGTTATTTTTTTGCACGTTGCCCCATAAAAACATTATTTTTCTACACATTGCCCCATTAAAATGTTATTTTTTGTTGCACGATGCCCACCGAAAATAAACTTTTAGGTAAAGTGCAACCAAAACAATATTTTGAGGGGGTTATCTCTTTGTTGATTTTTTTACGGAGGAAAGTGCCAAAATGAGAAATTTATAGGCGGTTAAGTGCATTTTGTCCTATAAATTATAGTTCTTATTCAATTTTTTGATTTAAGGAGTGCGTATACTATATTAAGCTAATCTTGGTTCGATTCGGTCCATTATCAAACAAATTACTATTTTCCCCATATGATGCACCGGATAACATTTGAAAAATGAAAATTAGAAAATTAGTAGAGAGAAAAAATATAAAAAAATAATAATTACCTAAGGTTGTCCTAGGATTCACTCCTGTTATATATTACTTTAAAAATAAAAATTAATTAGAACAAATTGCAAATGGAAGATAATGGCCGAAAAATTGGAGGCAGGTTTGCTTGAGGGATAGTGTTCGTTTGTTGGTTTAGTAGTGGATGAGAATTGAATAACAATTTGCTAAATTTACTATGAAAAAAGTAGGCTAGAAATAGGAGTCAAAAAATTTGAGATACAAAAATTTAAAAAGAAAATATTATCTCATTACCTCTATCTATGTCTCTACTAATCTTAAAAGCATGAATATTTTTTATTTATTAACATTTTTGTGTTTTCTATTACGCCCCATATAACAAGATTATACCATCAGGACAAGATTATGTAGTTTAAATATCAAATGTCTTTTTTATATGCTATATTTATACTTAGGTGATTATTTATTTTCTACTTATTGTAATTTTTTCTGCATATTGAAATCTTCGATGTAAATTTAATTTGTATAAAACTAATACTCCACTGAGGTATGGTATTATCTAAAACTTGCCATTGACTTTTTATAAAATTTATTATTTTATGTTATTTTATTATTTTATATTATTTTATGAAGAAATGTTAAAAAAAAGTTGTGTAAAAAGCGTAGGGCCCCTTCATAAATCTTTTAATGCATTTTGGCCCTCATACTTAAAATCCTGCCCTCCGCTGATGTTAAAAGGTAAGCTAAATATAATTTAGTATTGAAATATTTCTAGGAAGGTCATTTTGCAAGTAATTAAGGTGGTGTTTGTAAAAGCTTTTTGAAAGTGATTATGATTTTTTGCTCATAATCTATTTTTATGTGTTTGCAAAATCAACTTTTGCATTTGCTTTTCTTAAAATAATCTGCTTAAGCTATTTTTTTCGAAGCACCCCTAACCCTGTTTTTACTATTTAAGTTTATTTTCCAGAATAATTGCAAACACCTCCAATTTTTAGAAATAAGCACTGAAAACTGACTTAGATGGTGTTTGCAAATGATTATTTAAAAGCAGAAGTTAGTGATTGTGATTTAAGTTAGTTTTAAGTGCTTATTTCCAAAAGTTGGGGGTGTTTGCAAATATTCCAGAAAATGAACTTAATAGAAAAGGCAGGGTTAGGGGTGCTTTTACAAAAATAGCTTAAAGCAGATTATTTTAAGAGAAGCAAAAGCAAAAGTTAATTTTGCAAACACCTGAAAACAGATTTTGATAAAAAAAAACCCACATAATTACTTTCAAAAAGCATTTGCAAACACCACCTTACCTCACAATCACTGACTTCTGCTTTTAAATAATCTCTGCAAAGACCACCTAAATCTACAACCGAAGAATAAAAGTCAAAGTGTAAAAATATAATTTACCTTCTTCACCAAGGCCAGCGATTCTTTAGCAGATGAGCCAGATCCAGCTTGCGTGGTTTTCAGGTTGTGTAGTTCGTTCTTTGCGTCTTCGTAGATCGGTTTCAGCTCCGCTCGGAGTTTCTGGACGGTTTCCGCCATGCTGATAGTAGTTACTAGGCCTGCTGCCGCCTTCTTCCCGCGGCTCATAAAATTATATTTCTTCTTGGGCTTCGCCGCGGGAGCCGTGGCGGCGGCTTCTGCTTCTGCTTCGGCTCGGCTCAAACAAGTGTCGAGGGCGTCCTCGACATCGTAAATGGCCTCCCTCATTCGCTTCTCTATCACTTTGAAGAGCGGGCCCTTGTCCGGCATCTCTGCGGCCTCCTTAAGGCACGCCCTCACGGGTTCGAGATCCTTCTGCAGCTCTAGGAGCTGTTCTTTTGCTTCGACGATCAGAGTTGCGTAGTGTATCACTATATTCGTCACCATTTCCACCAGCGACTCCACTGCTGTTTCCGCCATCTTGATACAGATCTAGAGAGAGAGAGATATTTTGGAGAGAGAGACTTTGGAGAGAGTCAATGTGAATGGATATTGATCTGTGTTCGAGTTCTCAAACGATGTAGATTCATAGTTCTATATGGTCAATACATATGTAGATATATTATACTTACATACAGAGAGAGAGAGTATAATAATACCACTACTCGAGATTAACGCATTTGATGGAGAGAAAAAAATACAAATTTAGTAAGCTTTCAGTGAGTAGTTATTTAATCAAATTTACGGTAGAAATCCACCCATTATATATAGATAATTCAACGAAAAATATTTTACTTTTAAATTTTAACTATGTGTGACAAGCTCCACTTAATGACCGATGGCAAGGAGATTGGAACTTAGTTAATTAACATAAGTTCCCTGTCCAATGATGTACTATGTTGATGTATTTAATTGGCGTAGATTTATCAAGAAGTGTGCAAGAACAAAAATATTAGTTTAGTACTTGTATAGATGATGTCACAAATATTTATTTATTTATTTATAGGGTAAATTACAAACACCCCTGAGGTATGGTCAAATTACCAAAACACCCCTCTTGTTTGGATAATTACAACCACCCCTCAACTCCTCAAATTTAGTGGAATCTTCGAGATTATATGGAATATTATATTATCACTTTTGTACCCGTTTTATCCCATTCAAACTCTACATTATGAAGCAAGATGATCATAATATGTGAATTTTAGCTTGTATATATCAGTGTGTGGTGCATTGAAAACTGTATTTTTACACAAAACGAGTACAAACTAGAGCACATTTTACGGAGTCTAGATGATTATGTTGAATTTGGCACCATAAGGGTGGAGGTGTAAGAAAAAATCATAGTTGAGGGGGGTATATGTAATTATCCAAACAAGAGGGGGGCTTTTGTAATTTGACCAGACCTCAGGGGGTGTTTGTAATTTACCCTTTATTTATATTATCTTTTCATTTTAAGTTATCCTAATTGCTAATAGTCCTATCCCATAACTCCAAGTACCAAACTAAGTCTCTACCCATCAAAAGTTTGGCATTTTGTGCTCCAAGGTCAATAGGTCAATATAGCATAGGGTAAATAGCAATTAAGCACATGTGGTGTGAGCTTAGTGCACATAATTTCTTTGTATTTTCAATATAAGCACATACCTCTCTATAGTTTGAATTATATGCACATGCTCCATTTATATTTCCAATATAAGCACATATTATAAAATATATTAAATAAAAGTAATTAAAAAATATGCATTTTTTTTGTGGTAAATTCCACTCTCTTCCGTGTATTTTAGTTTGATATCACTTTATCCATTCTCCCCTTCTACTCTCAATTGCATCGATTTGCCCCCTTGTACTTGAGCTCGATATCATTTTACCCCCTTCTACTCTTAATTGCATCGATTTGCCCTCTTGTACTTTTGCTCGATTTCAGACCTTTGACCTTTACACCGGTTGATCTAAATATGAAAATTACTAAAAAGCCACTCCTCCAAGTTTAAATAATAATTAAAAAAATAAAAAATAAATTGTGGCTGGCGTCGTGGACTATGTTTTCTCGGTGTCTTGAATTTTTTATTATTTTGTTTTTTGTTTGTTTTTTTCTTATTATTATTATTTTTGTTTGAATAATTATTTAAACTGTGAGGGTGACTTTTTAGTAATTTTCAGACTTAGATCAAACAGTGTTAAGGTCAAAGGTTTGAAAACTAACGGCGAGGGCACATTGAGACAACTTTTCAAGCACATTGGCAAATCGATGCAATTGAGAGTAAAAGGGGTGAAGTGATATCGAGCCAAAGTACAAGGGGGAAAGTAAAATTTACGGGTTTTTTTTTTTTTTCTTTCAGGGCTGCCCTCTTGCAATTACATAGTTACGGCAGTAATTGAAGCAACATTGGCTGAAGAGTGAAGCACATGGATATAATAATGAATATGTAACATGTGAAAAACAAACTTCGCCCCTCGTTGAAGCACCAAATATATTCATTTAATAATTGGCTAAACCACATGGATCCATACACAGCCTTTAATAGACCATGTGGAGCTACTAAAATTCTCTCATTTCGGCACACTATCTATTTTACTTTTTTTGGATAAATAGAACTTAACCCCTGTGGTTTGATTTTTTTTATTTAACTCTCTTGTACTTTTAATATAAGTATGAAACTTTGTGCAAATGAGTCATCACCCCCTTTTATTTTCTATTATTTACAACACAATTTCTAATCCACCATCATCAGTTTATACTCCTCGATCATTTTCGTCTTCACTTTATCGTTCACGATGAATGTAAAAAAGCTCCCCAGTCACACGATTTTGAATAATTGCAATTATTAAATGAAATATATTTATTATAATGAGCTAATTGCACATAAGCCCCTATGTAATTTCGAATTGCCGAAAAAGTCATCGTGTTAAAAATATTAGCAAGGACTCCCCTGTGTTGTGTTTTACGAAGCACACCACCCCTTACTTCAAAATTGATGGTTGACTTGTATGCAATGACTAAACTACCCCTAGTACATTCTTAGTAATTTTCAGTTTTTAACAAAAAGAAACGAAAAAAAATCACACAAAACAAAGCAAACCAGCTTCTCTCCCCTTCATTGCTCGTCTAGGTAAAGGAGAAGAATGGTTGGTGACAATGGTGGGTGGGGGTTCTTTTTTTGTTTTTTTTTCTTTTCAGATCCGAGAAAAAAGTGTTGCAAGCAATTTTCGGTGCACGGAAATTGTGGATTAAGAAGCTAAAGTAGCGGTGGTGGCATTGAAAGGCAGCGGCGGCGGCATGGTGGAATCGGAGAGTCGGCTTCGAGTTTGGCGGAGTAATTTGCAGTGACGGCAAATGATTCTTCGAGTTTGACATTATTATTCTTCTTCTTCTTCTTCTTCCTCAAGGTACGAATTAAGTTTTCAAAAATTGGAAGAAAATGCTATGGAAATTGGAAGAAAGTTCTTTGAAGGGTTTACCCACATGGGCGGAACCAGGATCAAACGTAGGGGGCTGAGCTACAAGGGGGGGCCGAGCTAATTTTTGGGGTTCAGGCCAGCATCCCGAAAAAAAATTTAGGTTCACAAGACACTACTAAAATAGGTTTATATTGTTTGTTTTTAATTAAAATAATATATATTAGGGAAAATTGCACTCACCCCCTAAAAAAATTCGTTTTTAGCGTTTTTCCCCTTAAAATATAAAAATGAGACTGTCCCCCTTTGAAATATACAACACGGTGCACTTTGTCCCAAATATGTATTTTCGGTCTAATTCTCATCGAATTGAGGTTGTGTATGTCATTGTAATTACTCCACGTACTTGAAAATTCTTCTATCATAATTACTTAGGTTTCCCATATTAACAAAATTTTCTTCCCAAATTGAAGAAATTTGCTTCCAAATTAGACGAAATTTTCTTCCAAATTCGACAAAATTTGTTATTTTTTCTTCATAGTCATTGTAATGTAGGGTGAAAAAAGGTTAGATTACTTTTTAAGTCTTAAAAGACAAAATTACCCTTCCAATTTACTCGATCAAATCTGACAAGAATTAAACCGGAAATACACATTTGGGCCAAAGTGCACCGAGTTGTATATTTCGAAGGGAGACAGTCTCTTTTTTGTATTTTGAGGGGAGAAAGTGCAAAAAAGGCATTTTTAAGGGGGTGGAGTGCAATTTTCCCTATATATTATGGTCTTATCATATTTCAAGCATGCAAAAAAAAAAAATACTAATTCAACCAAATAATTCTCATAATGTATTGCACTTAACATTTTGAGGATTTGAGATATTGTTCTAGATTATTTTTAGAGGTATTGATTAAAAAAATATAAAAAAGAAATTAAATAATTCATAAATTTCACTTAAAATAGTACAATTTTCGACCATGTTATTTTATATTGTCATATTAAATATGATATATATATATATATATATATATATCGATATATATT